CGCGCAGCGTCGACCGAACAAACAGGTTCGGGAAGGGAGCCGTGAAGAGGAAGCTCTTGAGGGAGAAAATGAACTCCCCCACTTCGGAGGTCATGAGCAGGAGGTTGGACGCGTCGACCAGGTGTCGGAGCATGGCGGCCATCTGGGCATACGCCTCCTCTCGGGTGGGGGTCAGTGCCGCGGTGGAGGAGGGGAAGCTGAACATCTTGCGGGCGATGCGCCGGTCGAAGGCGTACACCCCGCCGGCGGCGGCCGGGGCGAAGTCCGGCGCCGGCGGCGTGGCGCCCTGGTCGACCGTCTGCATGCAGAGGTCCACCGCGCGGAGGGTCTGCTGCAGGCTGGCCACATTGCAGATGTTGAGGTTGCGCATGTGCGGCGAGTTGTGGTAGATGTCCAGCAACTTCAGGCGCAGGGACAGCCGAGCCCCGAGGGCCGTCAGAGCCCGGGGGGTGTCATCCGCATGCAGGGTGTAGATGGACCGGTGTTGCGCGGTGGCCGGGGCGCCGGCGGGGTTCAGACACTGGCGGGTGGCCGCCTGGATGGCCTGCATGCAGGCCTCCAGCATGGACATACACCGGGCCGTGGGGAAGGCCGGCAGGTTGACCTGCAGAAAGTTCGGCACCGCGGCCGAGGTGGCATCCGACGAGGAGGGCTCCTCGTCGGTGCCGATGCCCGAGGCCGAGATGGCACGCGTCACGGCATCCATACACCGGAGGACATTGTGACAGTAGGCATGCAAAACCGGGCACTTGATGCGGTCCGGCCGCTGGAGGTACAGACTGGACCCGAGGGAGGGGGCCAGGGAGTTGCCGGCATGCAGGACCATCTGCGGGCGCGCGGGGGGTCAGTTGGGGTTCGGTGGCGGCCGGGCGAGGGGCCGGAGAAGGTGGGCCAGAAAAGGAAAGGGGGCATGGTCGACGCCCTCCCCGGCCGGACCGGATGGCGAGCAGGAAGCGTTGAGACGAGGCAAAGGGGGACAGGATCGGCGCCGGCGAGCCCGTTCGGCTCGCATTGTCGCGTGCTCCGTTCCTTCCCCCGGCCCTGGCGCACCTCTTCGGCCAGCAGGTCGTCGATGATGCCGACCAGCTCGGCCGCCGAGAACCCCTCGGTTCGGAGCATCCCCGCGTCGAAGGCCTGGTCGATGCCCTGCCAGGCGGCCCGGGGGTCGGCGCCGGCCGAGCGCCGAGCGATCTCGGCCTCCGAGGTGGGGGGGAACTCCGCGCGGAAGACCCCGAGCGCGGCCGGCAGCTCATCCTCGGCCATGTAGCCGGAGTCCATCTTCGGGTGCATGACGTCCACGGCGGAGATCACCTGTCGAAGGCAGAAGTCCGGCGTCGAGAGCAGCTCCCCATCGCGGCTGAGGGCGTCACACCCGCGGAAGAAGACCTCCGTGACGTCGGCCCAGTGGGAAACATGCGGCCAATCATTCAGGTCGGCCATGGCTTGAACGGGGGCGGGGGGGAGGTGTGTGTGTGTGTGTGTGTGTGTGTGTGTATGCGCGCGCCTCCGGGAGGTATGTGCAGGAGAGGGGAGGGGGGGGGGGCAGGCGAATGAGGGGCGAGGCGCAGGGGGCAAGAGGAGCAGGCACAAGGGAGGAGGCAGGAGGCCGAGACTGGGGCGGAGGGGGGTGGGGTGGCGAGCCGCCATTTCACATTCTGCTGCCCATGCAAGAGAGGGCGGCAGTCGGGCGGGGATCACCCGGACCCGGGGCACGATCGGCCGCCCCCCCCCCCGTTCCCCAGGGTGTGCGGGCTTTCTTCTCCCTCTCGGAACATTTCCCACCTGGCCCAGGGGCATGCCCGCCGGTCGGCGGCGATCTGCGGCCTCCAGGTGCCAACCCAAGGCGCACGCCCTCCGTACGCGCGAATAGCATTTGGCCCGCGGGTGCCGCCGGACGGGCCGCCATGTTGACGCCCCGAGCCACCAACAGGGGGCCGCCCCGCCTGCCCCCTCGCCCGGCCCTCACGCGGTCCCCGCATGCACCGGGAGAGAGAGAGAGAGAGAGAAAGAGACCGAAACGGAGGCTCGGCGATGAAGGGGAGGGCCGCCGGGGCGCGGGCGCCGGCCCATGTTGGCGCGCTGTGTGTGGCACGCCTGGGCCAGCTGCCATCCGGCCCCGGACTAACACATGTCGACCGGGAGGACATTGTGT